CTAAATGTCTGACAATAATGGCAGCAGCCTACAGAGCAGAGTGGATTGCCCTTGGCAATATCTCACCATTAGTTCATTCTCCTTATAAGCCTGTTGATCTGGTCTTCTCTGTTACCAGCATCTCCACCTTCCACAAAGTGGATTGTTTTCTTCTTCATTCCACCCCGAGGAGAGGACAACTTGAAGGGCCAAAGGAAGTTGTTCACAACTTTGAAATTCTTGCCAACAGTGTAAATTTCATGGATCACATCTTCCATGCAGATGATGCCAAGCTTTCCTAAAATTCAGAAACATTGTTTTCAGAAAGACTACAGAACCACTAGTCAATAACAAGCTAAAAATTATCACATTGTTACTGTCATGCCTATTTATTTTGAGAAACTTCAGGAAGTCAGAAAGCAGTCACTCAGTCATGAAACTTAATGACTGACTTTTCCATTTAAAATGGACTTGCTGCAGTCAACTCAACATTTAGTTGGTACATTTGGAAAGAGGTATCAGTTTCAACTGTTAAATATTCACAACCAGCAATGAGGAACAACAAAAAACAACTACCCTTAGTGAATCTTGGGGAAGTACTTTCAAGAAAAGCTAGATTAAATACACTTAAACCACAGCTACGAGTGGCCCACAAAAATTCATTGAACTATTTAGTTAGGCTGTTGAATAATGCAACAGCATGTTTCCTTAATGCCTTTCCAGTCTTCAGCAACATGTTCCAAGTTAACTGCTCATAAAATACACTGGTAAAAAGAAAAGTGATTATAATGCAATACTTGTAAGTTTATAATCTGTTGATCTATTGCCCTGGAAAAGGAACAAACATGACACAGCCTAATTTGAAGCAAAATGCAAATCAAGAGCCAAAAAAAGGGAGAGATTAAAGCGTTTGCTTTCATTTATCGTGGCACAACTGCAAAAGGAGCCTCCTGGAGCAGTCCATATCCCAACAATTGATCACCACCCTTCGTTTTTACTAAATACACTCATTGCTTTTACTAGCTAATTCTTCTTTCAGCAAGTGCAAACAGTCTGTTTACCAGATCACAAATGTCTATGACAAAATGTCTAACATTAAGTCTGAAAGTTCAAAGCCATGTATGATGATTCTTTCCTGCTGCAGCGTTTTTTCATTACTGAAAGATCTACTGACCTATTAAAGGTCAAGGAGTTTACACTTAAAATTGAGAATTTAAAATGCTAATATTTGATTCTTTACACCAGTTTTCAATATTTTATAACAGAAGTTACTTCCAGCTTGTTTTGTGTTAAGCAGTTAAAACAGAAGCAGAGATATTAACTAAACTCCAGTATACTCCAGAGACACACAAGGACCGATGTCCAGCTCAGCACTGATCACCCCAAGGCACCAAGCTGGTGCCTGGTTTTGCTCAGCAGTGCTTACCAAGGCGCTTCTGAATCAGGCGGTTGTCAGTGAGAGCGATGCGCTGCTTGTTGATCTTGCCGTAACCGCGCTTGTAGATCAACTCATGCACAGACTTCAGGTTGGGGTACCTGCAACAGTCAAGTTCAAAAAAAGAACTCTAAGTCTTTGCAAGGCACATTCCAGGTTAACATCCCTGATTTAGACTCCCGTTACAAACAATTAAAGATCATTTCAGCACATCCCAAATGTAAGTACAAAAGCAACAGGGAAACAAATTTTACTCACACCAGGTTCCCAAGAATACCAGTATGAGAGTGCAATCATATCCATCAAGTATTACCTTAAAGCACTTCCTTAACCATGTTTTCAATTCAAAGGAAGGAAAGCACACTGAAGATAAAAATATCTTGCAAGTCTAGCATAGCAAACCATAAAAGGCTCTCAACATTTGCACACTGATTAGGTAAAACTGGCCATTTCACTCACCCCCAGGCAATGTAGGGCTCCACAATCCGCAACATGTTGATAGAAGCTTTGTTGAGCTTTACAAATGTGCCATTAAAAATCTGACGCAGGCGAAGAAGCTGCAACACTTTGCGGACCTTAGGGCTGACACCATTGGTACTGGAGAACAGAGGGGAAAATCCTCAGTTATCAACATCCCAGAAACACTAAGGAACAGGTTCAAAAAGACACAATAGCACTGTTCCCACATAAAAAAGCATCACTGTTTCACCAATGACACAAAGCAAGCTTAGTAATTAACTTACTATCTCTGTATATTTCAATGTTAAGTTAAAATATCTACTTCCATGAAATGAATTGAAAGTATTGTACTGAAACAATTTAGAACTAGCCTTGTACTCTCCTGAACATAATTCTTCCAATCACATCTTCTGCTAGTTTTTTGTAACATCTTACTGAAGAATTAAACAAACACTTGAAAAAAAGTTCAGTAGAGTGTCTGGGAATAAGGACATGTAATTTTATTGAGCTCAAGGTGAGACAGAACAACTGTCTGCACATATTTGCAGCATTGTCTTCTTAAAAATCAGGGATTCCTAAAGACAACAGCCAGCCAGCAAAATGATTTGACACTTATTACAAACACCTCTGGTGCGTGTACAACATACTGCCACCCACTGCCCAAGCCACTGGTGGAAGGTTTGATCTTATTTACATATGTAAGCTGTCAAAACACAGAGGTAACAGGAAAGTTAACTCCAGTGCTTTTGAACATAAAATTGCTTACACCTGTACTCAGCCTTACCCTCTTATCCTGATCACAAATGCCAGTTTTGGCTCGGCTGGGACATAGTAGTTGCCAGCTTTCCGGGCCATCCTGGCCATGCGGATCTCCTGCCGGTACATGTGCCTGTACTCCTTGTGGTAAGCCTGGGCTCTGGCATAGATGAGTTTTCTCTGTGCCTTACGGTGCTGCAATAAATTGGGAATTGCTTAGGGTTACATAAAGCTTTTAAACACATAAAATCACCTTCAAATAATGTGCCACATTCTAGAACTTCACACGAATAACACAGATTAAGTATCTCACAGATACAACCTCAGAACAACCCTCACTGATGCTCCAAAGAGCCTGGTAGGCTGTTACACAGCAGTGCCACTCTGCCTTGAACACTGTTATCATTCCCAACCCTTCATTCAGGAACTGTAGGGATAGGACAAGGAGTAATGGGTATAAACTAAAAGAGAGGAAATATAGGTTAGATATTATGAAGAAATTCTTTACCGTGAGAGTGGTGAGACACTGGAACAGGCTGCCCAAGGACTTTGTAGATGCCCCATCCCTGGAAGTGTTCAAGGCCAGGCTGGATGGAGCTCTGAGCAACCTGATCTAGAGGGAGGTGTCACTGCCCGTGGCAGGGGATCGGGACTAGATGATCTTTAAGGTCCCTTCCAACCCCTTAACATTCTGTGATTCTATGATCATGCATCAAGCTCACCCTCACAAAGTCTGTAACCTCTTGCCTTGTACAAGACTAACTTCAGTGTGACAGACGACTGTACACTTGAACCTTGACTACCTGGAACTGGTCTGTTATCAACCAAAAAAAGCATATTTTAGTCCAAATCCTGAAGAAAATATCAACACACTTGTCCTAAATACCATGTATTGGATCACATCAGCAGTAGCAGCAACTGATACTGTAACAGACAAACAATCTTAATCAAGGGGTCGATGAATATTCACCTTTTTTATAGCCAAAATCTTCTTCTGCCGTTTGGCTTTCATGGCCGCGTAAGCCTGCCGCTTCTTCAGCAGGCTCTCGGGCACAGAGGGCACCTTCTTTACTCTAAGGAGAAACAGAAACAAAAAACACCTCTTTTAGCTGAGATGAAGAAACCCAAAGAACACTGTTCCGTACAACAAACATCAATGCTGCCTCTTTAACACAAGGTATGCACAAGCCTTGCTGCCTCCAGACACTTCACTGCAGCGTCTTCCTTGTTCCCATTGTTCCCAGGCCCAGAGCAGTGTCCCAGGACATTTCCCTTGGACTGAACTAGGTGATTTCCTGGGTTCAGAACCTGCATAGTTCCCCTTTCAAGACAAGGAACCCTGACAGACCAACTGCTGAGCTGCACACAACCTTTGTGGATGGATGACTGCACAGACTGACACCACCCCAGTGGCAAATTTTTTTCCTTACCTTGCTATAGTACAATTTGTAATAAAACAAAGACCGGTTCAAAGAGAATTTCTGTTTAATAAACATTTCAACAGGTGTTTGAAAAGGGCAAGCAAATTTGGCAACACTCTGAAATTTATTTCATAGCACTTTCAAGTTGTTTGGCAATTCGGAGAATCACAGGATGGGTCAGGTTGGAAGGGACCACAGTGGGTCATCTGGTCCAATCACCCTGCTCTGCTCCCAGAGCACACTGCACAGGATTATGTCCAGATAGTTCTTAATATGCCCAGTGAGGGAGATTCCACCTCTCTGGGCATCACTGTTCCAGTGATCAGTCACACACATAGCAAAAAAATTCTTCCCCATATTGAAGTGGAACTTTCTGTGCATCAGTTTCTGCCCGCTGCCTCTTATCCCAGAGATTTTAAAGTCTCAGACGCGGCAAAACTCGCCAGCGCAGACTTTACAGAGCCACAATCACCCGGGCGAGCTCCCGCTCCAGGGCGATCCCTCCCTGCTCCCGCCCCAGCACAGCCCTGACCGCGCTCCCACCCGGCCCGGAGGACCCCGCCGGCCCAGCCCGCACCCTCGGCCCGCCCGGGGCCCGCTCCCCTTCCCGCCCCGCCGAGGGCCGGCAGACACAGCAAGGCCGGGCCGGCTCTATCTCCGCCGCACCGGATCCTCCCCTTCCGCCGCCGCCGGCCCTGGCGAAGGCCCGGCGGCCCGGGGGCGGCGGGGGCAGTGGCCGGGCGGCGCGGTGGCGGCGGATGGTGCCAGATGGCGGCGGATAGAGCGGGAGGGGAGAGCACTCACTCCTTGTCCGCCATCGCAGCGCCGGAAGAGAGGGGCATGCGCGTGCGCAGCGAGCTCTTAGCCCATTCGTCCGCGCAGGCGGGGCCTTGCGCACCGCCAGGACCACGGGCTTAGGCGTCCGCCGTTGTGCCTGACCGGAGGGCGGGCGATGGGGTGGCCTAGGAGTGCCGGAGGCAAAAGTGTCCCTGCCTGGTGGGGCTGGAGCCGGGCGTGTCCCGGGACTGGCCGTAACCTGGGACTTAATGTGTCCTGGGACTGGCCGTGTCCCGGAGACTGGCCGTGTCCCGGAACTGGCCGTATCCTGGGACTGGCTGTGTCCCGGGGACTGTGTCCCGGGCCGGGCGAGAGCCGCTCCGCCGCCAGACCCAGGCTTCCCTGCAGGAGGCTGGGAACGAGCTCTGCGGTGGCGGGGCTCCCAAGGCGTCTCGCATCAGGCAGGATTTCCCCTATTCCAGGCTTAAACCCTGTGCTTAAAGCCTACGGGACGCTACCTCCCGCCCGCGCTCGGTACCGAGGCGGGGATGAGGCTGAGAGCGGGGAAATGCCACTCCCTCCAGGCCCCGGCAGCATACCCCCGGAAGCCGGGAGGGAGAGGGAAGCGGGGCGCCCTGCTCAGCCCCGGAACCGGAGCACTTTCCGCAGGAGAGCCCGGGGATGTCGGGGATGTTCCCGTCCCTGCGGCTGGAGCTCGGCTCTCGGCCGTGCCACCCACTGCGCGAGCAGGATCGTTCGCCGGGATGCGCGGGGAAATGGGAACTGCGGGTTTCGTTTGTGCCGGGATGAGCTTTCATTAGGTTGGGCATCTTTTGGGCTCGCCATAGGGAATTAGTAACTGCACAGGTAGACAAGAGAGGCGGCTCGGGAAACAGCGCTGCCCAGCACAGCGCTGCGGCTTGTAAGGCTGCTTAAGGCTGTTGCTCGTAGGTCTGATCCTATTCTGATCCTACCTGTGCTCCTAAAATCACCTACGGAGGCGCCGGCACATCATTACACACGTACGGGAAGATGGGAAATTAGTGGAACTCTGAGCAGCTAAGAACTGTCCGGTATAAAAGAAGTGTGGGCAGCAGGGCTGGGGATAAGGAATGCCGAGCTCTGCGTTTGCTGGTTTTATTTGTTGTCTGTTGACAACACGCAGAGGTGCCGGGTGGCACTAACATCCGAGAACGTTATTGAGGATGCTCGGGATTCTAGTTACAGCTGTATCGATGCTGATTTTTTACAATAGTAGTATTTTGTGCTAATACAGACGTTTCTATCACTTGATCTCATTCGAAATATTAATAAAGGGGGTGATTAAAATCACGCAAATATGAACTAAAACACCTGCAATATCTACTAAGGAAGAGGTTGATTGCACATTTTTCCAAAACTTTTGAACTCGAATTTCTGCTAAATCCGAGAGGCAGCAGTCACAAATGTAAAGCTCCAACAACTTTTCTGAGAACTGGTGGCTGCGCAGGGAACAAAAGGGCAGCGTAGGAAGAAAGATACACGGCTGCAGGCGAGCAGAGACAGTGGGGTGAGTCCTGCTGGTCCACATGTGGGAAATTGCAAGGGCACGCTCTGCTCCTCATCCTCTGGAGCTGGCAGATGCCCTGGAGCGGGACGCTCGGGTGCCGAGGGGCCGCAGGGTGCCCATCTATAGGGAGAGGCCGCTGTTGTCGCACAGACAAAAAAAATACGTTCCGTGTGCTGGCACCTGTGAGCTCCCACTTCAGTCTGTGGCTGGTGAGATACCATTGGCCCTATACCTGGCTGACAGACCGAAAAACCATCGGGGTTTTGTTCAGCAGAGAAACCCGAGGCCCGCGGGTCCCGGGCATCCTGCGGGGATCCCGCCGCCTCCGGGCCATTCGCCGCTGCCCCGAGCACGGACCTTCTGCGCCCGTTCGTGCTCCCCCGGTCCGCGCTGCGGCAGCTGCGCCGCTGCCCGACCGCCCTCGGCCACCCCGAGATGGCGCTGCGACAGGCGCGGCGCACCCCGGGACATGTAGTCTCAGGCCGGGGGCAGGGGGAGCCGCCGGGATTCCCGCCCCGAGCCTCGCGAAGCTCCAGCCGCTCCCACTCCCGTTCCCGGCGGGGACCTCCCTCGTTGGCGGGGCGGGGCGTGGCGGGGGTCCCGGGAATACGGGGCGGGATGGGCCAGCCCAGGGGCGGGGCTCGGCCGCCCTGTCCGCTCTATATAGAGGGCCGAGCGAGCAAGATGTGCACTGCCAGTAGCGGGGCCGCGGGCGGGACGGGACGGGACGGGACGGGACAGGGCAGGGCGGCGGCAGCGGGCGGGCAGAGCCGCGTCCGGGCTCCTTCCTCGGCGTGTGTGACTGAGGCGGGGCACGGGGTGCCGAGGGCGGAGAAGGGGAGCTCGGCGGCGGGACCCCGGGAGCGGAGCCTCCCTCGGCGCTCGCAGCGGGCGGTCTCGGGCAGCGGCGGCCCCAGGTGGGGGAGCCGGGCGGCGAGGAGGCTCCGCGCCGCCGGCCCCGCGGATCCCTCGCGCTCCGGCAGCATGAACATCCTGCTGGAGTTCTTCGTGGTGACTTTCCGAGTGCTGTGGGCGTTCGTGCTGGCCGCGGCCAAGTGGCTAGTGCGGCCCAAGGAGAAGAGCGTGGCGGGGCAGGTGTGCCTGATCACTGGGGCGGGCAGCGGCCTGGGCCGCCTCTTCGCCCTGGAGTTTGCCCGGCGCCGGGCGCTGCTGGTGCTATGGGACATCAACACGCAGAGCAACGAGGAGACGGCGGGCATGGTGCGGCACATCTACCGGGAGATGGCCGAGGAGGCGGCCACCGCTGCCCCCAGAGGTAAGCGCCGCGCTGCCGGGGCGGGCTCCGGGCGCTGCCCCTCGCCACTCACCTGCCCGGCCCGGGACCGCCTCACCAGCGGCGGGCCGTGAGAGCGGCTCCGGGCCGGAGACCGCCGGGCGTGGGGTGTCGGACCCCCGTGGCTGCCGCTGCCAGGCGGAGCCGGCCCCGTTCCCGCAGCGCTGAGCGCAGACCTTTTTCGCGCAGCCTTGGGCTCCAGCGGCGGCTTTAAAACCTGCGGCTTTTCTTAAAGCACTTTGACAGCGGTAGTAAATAGCCGAGTTCTTATGTACTGCGCTGACACCGAAGTAAATGGAAGTTTTGCTGGTTTGGGACTGTATTTGCTGTTTATACTTGACTACTTGTTTGAATGTCAAAAAGCGAGTAAGAACTTTATTGCTCCCCCACCCCTTCTGTTCTCTTGTCTGTGTTCTTTAATAGCTGGTGATGGAGAGAAAGATGCGCTGCCCCATTGCAACTTGCAGGTTTACACCTACACCTGTGATGTGGGCAAAAGAGAGAATGTCTACTCGATAGCTGAGAGGGTCCGCAAGGAGGTTGGCGAGGTGTCTGTCCTGGTTAACAATGCTGGTGTGGTCTCCGGGCACCATCTCCTGGAGTGTCCTGATGAGCTTATTGAGAGGACCATGATGGTCAACTGCCACGCACACTTCTGGGTAACTATAAACTCCTTTTTGCTGCCCTTTTCGGCAGTTAATTTTGGGAAATGAACTGCTGTTGCTTAACTTCTTGAGTTCTGCACTTTCTCCTTTTCATTTGCAAGCTCGCTGCTTTGGGGATTTCTTATTTTGAACTAACTGTTCTGTTTAACAGGAATCATGGTATTAAGATTGCTAACAAATAGGTTTAAATCAACTATATCCTCCCAGAATCCAGAGTTCTATGTCTTGTGCCCATTTCTGTAGCTCTGGATATGAAAACCTTTACAACCATAACCTCTGAATCCGCTTAAAGGTTATTACTGGTAATGAGTGGCTTCTCAGCCTTCCTCACATACTCTTCTGCTAGCACACTAGCAGCTTTAAGGTGCTGTTTTAATGATGGCTACAATAGCAAGCTTGCACATTTCTGGAAAAAATGTTTAAAACTCCTGCTGAAAATGTTGTTTGAATTGCCCTGGAGGCAAATTGTTGCTTTTGAAGGCTGGGAGGAAAGGCGAAAAAGATTTCTCAAGAAATCAAGCCAAGAACACTTTTTCAGGAATCCTGCGTATTTGTCCTCATAGCTTTCTCTGAGGGCTGCCTGTAGAAGTAAGAAAATCTTTAATATGGTTTCTGGGATGGTATTGTCTCCATAGCTAGCAGATGCTAATCGAAGAGAACAAGCTATGTGATCTTACTCTTTTTGTCCATCTAAATTTTGTTTTCCTGTGTGGTTTATTTTTAAACCCACAGTGGTGTGGTGTTACATAAATTGGAGTGTTGAAGGAGGGCATGATGCACACTTGGGTTAGCATTAGCTGTCAGACTGAGACCATTGTTAGTATTAAAACTGCTCTTTGATTCTTCAAATAAGGTTATGAAATACACTTGCATAACAATGAAAGAATTAAGCAATCTGAAATATATTTCAACTTAAACCTTCTTTTACTGGTCTTACCTGTTCATAATAAAATTTTGTACAAAGCTGCATCTGCAAAACTTAGAAGGCCCTCCCAAACTGAACTTTTTTAACGTGGAAGTGAAATGCTGTTTCATAACCCTAAAGGAGCCCCTTCAAATCTGCACTGTGAAACACTTAATGGCAGAGCAGTCTCTTTCCAATGTATTGTAAAGCTTGCAGAGAGAGTGCTTAAACTTCAGTGCATACGAGATAGTATGTTTAGAAACACTTGAACTCTGAAAGTATATTTTAAGGCAATCTGAAAGGTTCTGAGAAAGGTCGTGTGACTTCTTATAATTAAGAGCTCTGCATGTTCCCCTTCATAAAAGTTAAGTTTGTGCTTAAGCCAATAGAGATGTGCACTAGATTTAATGACTATTATTGATGTGGTTTAAATGCCAAATTGACAGTTCCAAGAACTCTAAATTATGACATCACTATGAGTTAAAATATGGGAGGATCCTAAATTCTCCAGCTGTTCTTCCTTCAGGCCTAAGTCATACACTTATTTATAACAGTTTCAGAAACCTTTTTAAAGCACTCTGTGTGTTCTGAGTAAACTTAAAGTCTATGATTGGGTTTCCATAACAGTTCCATTCATCCCTAAATGTTAGTGTGAAGTAACTTGAAAATGTAAAAAAAAATTACTCCGATACTCCAAGAAGGTATAGTTAGGTCTGAACTGTGGAACTTGAGAATTTGGCTTAAGTTTTTAAAGAGCAGTCAACACCCTTTATATTTAATTGAGGATCTGTTCATATGTACACTTCCTGTAGATCCTGTGTCTGTGTCCTGCTTTGCTTTTCCTCTTTTCTTTTGCTGTTGGCAGAGCTCTTTTCCTTGTGTTCCACTCCACAATCCCAGAAAAGGTTGGCTTGACCAATAGTGGGTGGACTTCTGTTGAAAGTAATACTACTTAATTCAGAAGATATCATCTGAATCAGCTGATTTGAAGCCAACTTTTTTGATGCAAGTCAATGCTGACTTAAATAGAACAATGTGTCTAGATGTGTGAAGTCTTATATAGCTAGTCTTTTCCATGTCAACTAAACTGGTGGTCCAAAAGCAAAGCTAATACTCTGGAGCATTATGTAGGCTTTTAACTATTCTTGGAGGGTGTTTAGTTCAAAAAACTGTAAATGGATTTTGTAAAGACATAGCTCTTGCATGTATTATTGCTTCAGTAGTTAAGTTTCTGTACTTTCTGGAGTTTTCTTTCTTTGGGGTTTTTTTACTGTGGTTCAGGGGAAATTCTTTTTTCATCCCTTGATCATTAATCAAGCCTTACTGTGCTTCTATATAAAAACTGAAAATAGGGCTCTAGTATCGTTCCCTTGAAACATTTGACATAAGATTGATTGCCTGCTCTCCATGCAGAATGCAGGTGATCTGAGCTTGCTTTTGTGTTAGCAGCTACCATCTGAAGGCTGCCCAACTTCTGCAGTAGGCGGTGACGTGAAAATCTGTCACTGTTTTGCTGTTGTGACTTCAACTGCGCTGTGTACCATATCACAAACTGGCAGTCGAGAGATCCTTAGCATGCCACAGCCTAAACAGATGCTTTCCATTTTGCTGACATTTATGATTTGTGTAATCCTTACTATGAGTGTTCTATATAAACATGTCACCACTGCATCATGTAGCAATTTCCACAGCATAAAATCCACTGCAGTATTAAAAACCTGTTGTTTCATGCTGTGATAACTTGAATGCTTCTGATATTGAAAACATAGGGACAAAATCCATTCCTGGTTTGAAGCAAGCCAGCTCTGGTTTACTATAATTTGCAGATGCATAAAATTGTAGCAGGAGTGTAACACTATCTTTCCTGCCAGTCTATTGCAAGAATAATAACTTAGTTAGCTGCACTTGTCAATTATTAGAACTGAACTTCCACAGACTAAGAAGTTTTCTTCCTGTCATATGTCAGGATTCAAATTTTTAAAAATGTTAAATCACAGTATAAGTTAAAGCTGTTGCTTAATCAGTTTTTAGTAATATAGGGGGGTTTTTTCTTGTAGTTTTACAATAAAGCTTAAGTATCAAAATACTGTGTTTTGGATTGCACCACTGTATTGACTAAAACTACTGTACAAACTCTTATTTTTGGGGCAATTTGCAAGTCTTGCACCTACTCTAACATTATTTTCTGAAATAATGATCTATTGATGGATAGATAGATAATATTGTGCATCACCTGGGAAATGCACGTAGATTTGGTTGTTGGGGCAGGGGCAAGGGCGAGGTGATGATCAGGGTCTGAAAATCTCTTACATGAAGGTCCTTCTGTACAACAGATCCACAGTATTCAGCTCTGAGAGAACAGTGATCTGTGTTTCTGTCATGTGGATACTCCAAATCTTTCAGCTTCGTCTCCTTCTAGAGTTCTCTTCAACTTACCAAAAGGGGGAAGCAAAAGCATTCTCCTCTAGCTCTGTCATATAAAAAAAAAAATCCATGTAGAGAGAGACTAGGACCCAGAGTTTTTAAAGCCTTGTGTACTCCTTTCTTAGCTGGAGTAGTTATGTTCATTTATTTACAAATTACTTGATTTTTTTTTTAAATGTATGCTGGCGTATCTGTAGGAATTTTGAAGTAATTTTTTAGGTGACCTGACCTTGATACAGGAAGAGATAAATACTGATTAAAGAGGGAAATATTAGTAAGTATTTAAGGCATTTGTGAATAGTCTAAAACCTCTAAAATTTAAATATACCTTGGAAAGATGATTAATACAGAGTTACTAAATCAAATACCCATTTATGCAGCTGCTGTTCTTATCAGCCTGATTAGACTGACAGACTTGCTTGGAGAGTAACAGTGGCTTATAGTTGTCTATAATATATCAGTAATTATGTATTGTAATTGTAGTCTCTTCAAGCTCCTTGGTGTTAAATAAAGCTCACTTATGCCTATAGTTTTAGTTCAAATATGGAAGTATTACACTTAATGTGCACTCTGAATCTTCTATAGAAGAAAAAGCAACTTACGTTATTTGAAACTATAGCATGCTGAGTCTTGCGGCCTATTAGCATAGCAGATTAATTTTTGTCATCAAATCCAGGATTCAGATACCGATGATCAAATAGAGAGACAATATTCCACTGAAGGGCCAGGTAGCTATATTTAGTATTTTGGATGAGTGGAGTTAGCAACTTTAATTGATTTTTTTTTTTTATTTAATTTCATGATAATGTACCCCAAGACACACAAGTGTACTTACAAAGTTTAATCTACATGTTCTTGACTTTTTTCCATTGAAAAATGAGTTGGATCAAGTTCAAGCAAAACATATGTACGTGATCCAAAAAGTATCATCAAAACTAACTCTTCCCTTGCAAAATTATTCCAACTACATGCCACCAGTAAATTACCCTGGACAGCACATGTGTTTCATATACTGTGGTAGCATGCTGGGTAGTGAGTATGAAGGAAAAAGCAATCATACTCTTAGCTACGGAAATAGTCATATTAGTCATACTTAAAACTTATAAGTGCTTTGTTAGGGTTCTGCTGTTCATATGTTCTTGGGTTCATTTCTCAAGAAAATTGAGGGAATCTATCAGTTGAGAAAATACTGTCTTCCAGATGCATGCCCCAAAATATGCACTTTCCCATTTTATAAGGTAATGTAGTTAACACAAGTTTTGGAGAATAAATGCATGGATATGTATTTCTGAAGCTAGAGTGAGCACAAGACTAGCGGTTCAGAGCTTTCCTCACAGATTTATGTTATAGTCCATGAGGAGTTGTCTAGCATTATGTCAGGCACAGTTGTCGCCATAGTGCAATCTTTAATTTTGTGACCTGTATCTTACAATCTGTGTGTATCTGTGTATCTGTAATTTAGCTTTGTAGTCATAGTTTATTTGTAGTGATTACTCAAACTTTCAGGTTTTTTTTGTTAGTCTTCTTTTCCTTTTTTGGTGAGGTTACCAACCCAAACCATTTAGTTAGGTACCTGTATGTCTGAGCTTTGGCCATAGCAGCAATCTTGTATCAGTTTCAGAATAGTCACAGATGAGGATAAAAATGACTTCAGGCAATGTACTCA